CCCCCCCCCCTTGTATAAGCCCATCAAAAATCGCTTACGAAAGTGTATAAGCCCAGGGCTTATAGTCGGAGGTTTACGGTACACAATCCACTGTTGTTTCAACATTTTTTCTCGACCTTCCTAGAGTTACAGCAGTTGTACGACACCGCAAACCTTGCCGAAATCCTCAAAAGACTCCGGTCGTTCCAGTCTCTCACACCGTCGCCGCATCAAATCATCGTCCTCTCATACCCAGTCCTATAATACGATTGACACGCATTCGACCATATCAAGTCACTCCAGTTGCGGACCTGGCTCAATTGGCTCATCGTCGGGGCGAAATACCCCCCACGTTGGTGGACCCTCGACACCGACCTTCGTTCGTGAAATCACGCCAATCATACACATCAACCAACAACAATCGGACAACGGAGACAAGTAAGGCAGTCGTTGGTTGCATTCTGAATGACTAACAGCATTATCACAACTTGTTCACAAGCTTGCTACAAGCCTGTTGCGAACACATCTTGTTGACAAGTTGTGAGTGACAACCTTGTAGCAACTTGATAAAATAACAGCATTGTTACAACTTGTTGACAAGCTTGATACAAGCCTGTTGCGAACACATCTTGTTGACAAGTTGTGAGTGACAACCTTGTAGCAACTTGATAAAATAACAGCATTGTCACAACTTGTTGACAAGCTTGCCACACGCCTGTTGCGAACATATCTTGTGAAAACATCTTGTGAGCTTTATAACGTGTGTAGTATATAGGCTATGTAACAAATTGCCCAAACGTTTAGAGTGCAAATACAGCCCGATATCACTGACGTTTTAGCCAGTAATTTCAGCTTTTCAACAACTCCATATAGGAAATACTGCATCCATCTTATTTGTAGAAATGCGGAGAAAGTACGTAAGTTACACATTGAGAAGAGTTCCTACCCGCTTGGCATTCAGATCTCACAGGGGAGCTCAGGTGGTATATTTGTGACAACAGTAACAGAAGGAAGTATTGCACAAAAAGCTGGATTACGTTATGGTGACCAAATATTGGAGGTATTTCTTTCCTTCGGCCAATTTTCATAGGGTTATTTTTCTGATTACACTGGGGGAAAAAACAGGTTGGTTAAATTCATTATTTTAGTTGTCTTAGGGGCTGTTTATATGGTCTCGCTTACCCAGGATTCAATGAAGTGTGAAGTACTGTATTTTGAGTAATTGAAATAAGTCGCACTTTATGACCTAACAAAATTGCTTGTTACACATTTACGTGTGCAGTTATATATCTCTTTTTCACCAAATATTTGAACCGGTTCCGAACGTTTGAAAATTACCATGACTATCCTCAGCAGCTATAGAAAGTATGGAGGAATCTTACTTCATAATATACAGCAGTTGCTTTATTGTATATTTTTCGTTTTAGTTTAATGGCATCAACTTTCGTTCTGCAACGTACGGGCAAGCTGCCATTATACTTGGTCAAGCTGGAGGCAGCGTTCGTCTTATGGTCCAATATAATCCGCAAAGTAAGGCGTCTTTTTAATTTGAACTAACTATATTTATACCAGTACTGTAGATAGCTCTATCAGTTCTAAACTGTTCTCCCTAGATATCCAGTAAGAGTCATCTCTTACTGATTCAGTGTTACTACAAGAGGAAACATAAACTAAACTAACTTTATTTATACTGGATAGCTCTATCAGTTTTAAACAGTTCTTCCTAGATGTCCAGTAAGAGTCATCTCTTATTGATCCAGTGCTACTACAGGAGGAAACCTAAACTAAACTAACTTTATTCATACTGGATAGCTCTATCAGTTCTAAACTGTTCTTCCTTGAGGGCCATGGTCCAATATAACTACGTATCTTACTTTTGTCTCGCTTGTACTCTGTAGAACTGAAAGAGAATGTTATCGATAGTCTGACAAGGTAAAATATGACAGTAGTGTAGTGAAAATATTATCATTTTAAGCTCCCTCATTCTTTCCAACAGCTCGGCCCTGGGCTCTGTCAGAGTCTCGGTTTCTGAGTATTACTTTATTTTACATTTTAATAGTCATAATTCATCGGAAGCAAGTATACCAGTTGGTGATAGTGACATAACGCCTCCTGTGCCAAGGCGATTGTAAGTAGAACAGCCTTGCCTTTTTAAAATTATGAAATTTACCATTCACGAAAAAGGCGAGCACCAGAACTCAGTTCTGACTCATTACAAATTCATTTAGTACAGTTTTTCTTGTCTAATTCCATAATATGTATATATTTCAGTGTACCGACGAATGATGTGGAAGCCCCAAGTGAACCACGGTATATCACGACCGATCAGACAGTGCAGGGACTGGGACTGAATATTTTGGGCGGGAATGCCACTGGGATTTTTGTATGTGACGTGAAATCTCCCGGATATGATCTGGGAATTCGGGTTGGTGACCAAATTCTCGAGGTAAGCTCTGAGATTGTGGGTTCCGGATTCTCGCTATGGACTCATGTGAAAAGAGTCAGTCAACGCTCTGCCGAAAATCGTGGGTTTTCTTCGGGTGCTCCGATTTTCTCCCACAGGGAAAGTTGACAGGGTGGGTTAGGATAAACACAGTCAGGAAAGCTTACGGATCGAAAGCCTTGCAGTAATAAATTTACGTGGTGTTTCCACAAACAAAAAGTATTATAATATCGCAATTGTTGTAAAGATATATAGTCTACACGCGTAAAAACGCTCAGGTTGTGGCAATATTGATGAAAACAGGATTGAACAATGTTTTGCTGTCCACATTGTTCACAGTTGTCAACAATATTGAACAATATTGTTACACCCGATTCAGGCTCGACAAGTGTGAACAACGTGGGCAGCAAAACATTGTTCAATCCTCTTAAACAGCGGGCTCAGCGTTTTTAGCCATGTAGGCTAAGTATGTAATTAGGTAAGCGTAATACTTGATGTAATCGGTCGCTGAAAAGCCTCGATGGGGAGTGAGTCTATGTAGTCTAGTCATGAACATCCTCTTAAAATATTTATTCCTGTATTACTAGTTCAATGGATTCGATTTTACCGCCGTAACTCTGGAGCAAGCGACGCTGGAACTATGTAAGCCATCGGAAAAGATAAATACGAGGTTACAATATAACCCAGCAAGTAAGTTAAGATACCTTTAAATCGTATGTTCAGTTTTGCATTGATGATTAAGAAATAAAAAAAATATTCGTCTTTTAGAATACAATGTCATCAAGGATCACCCTGGTGATTCGCTTTACGTCCGGTAAGAATTAAAATTAACAGAATCAAACTATTTCTATCAGTTCTAAACTGTTCTCCCTGGATGTCCAACAAGAGTTATCTTTTTGATCCAGTGTTACTACAGGATGAAACCTAAACTAACTTTATCTATACTGGATAGCTCTATCAGTTCTAAACTGTTCTTCCTAGAGGTCCAGTAAGGATCATCTCTTATTGATCCAGTGTTACTACAGGAGGAAACCTAAACTAAACTAACTTTATTTATGCTGGATAGCTCTATCAGTTCTAAACTGTTCTTCCTAGAGGTCCAGTAAGGATCATCTCTTATTGATCCAGTGTTACTACAGGAGGAAACCTAAACTAAACTAACTTTATTTATACTGGATAGCTCTATCAGTTCTGAACTGTTCTTCCTAGAGGTCCAGTAAGTATCATCTCTTATTGATCCAGTGTTACTACAGTAGGAAACCTAAACTAAACTAACTTTATTTATAGTGTATAGCTCTATCAGTTCTGAACTGTTCTGCCTAGAGGTCCAGTATAAGGATCATCTCTTATTGATCCAGTGTTACTGCAGGAGGAAACCTAAACTAAACTAACTTTATTTATACTCAATTATACTGGATAGCTTTATCAGTTCTGAACTGTTCTTCCTTGAGGTCCAAGTAAGAACAATTTCTTATTGATTTAGTATTCGTGCCGGAGGAAATCTAAACTAAACTTTTTCTTGATCTAGCGCAATGTTCGACAATCCTGCAACAAGCAAAGATCAGTTGTCATTCAAGAAAGATGACATACTGTATATCACAGACACGCTGTATAATGGTCACGTGGGCAGTTGGAAAGCGTGGATTGTGAACAAAGAAGATGCGCAACAACGGGAAAGTGGAATGATCCCGAGTCGAATGAAGTAAGGTCCAACTATTCTTTATATACTGATTATTGATGTACTTTCATAGGAGCAAGAAAATTAAAGATTCTCAATGGGTAATTCCAGCTATAGCCTAAATTTTGATCAAGGCAAGAAGAACGAAATCCAACATCACAGCACAGAATAGGAAGTTATACCAGAAGCGTAACTCGAGCAAGTATTTGTCCGCGTTTTTACAAGCGATTCGTCATCAATCACGCCATCCTGGCTAGTACAACCGGCACTTTGTACCTATCAAATCTTGATAAAAACTTCCGGCTGTACTAGCCAGGATGGCGTGGCCTGACGTGAGCGAGTTAAAATTTTCGTGGATAAGGGAAACGACTAGAGTTACGCTTCTGGTATAACTTCCTATTCTGTGACCACAGCTAGAAAGAGCGTCTTAGAATGAGTAAAACTGCAAAGTTTGGTTGCCAAATGTTATAAAATGAAGAAAATATAGCCCTGTGAAGTTAGCAAATTTTGTATATATTGGTATTACGCGCAGTAAAAATAACCACTTTCGGCTCAAAAATGGTTATTTTCCCCGCGCGTAATGCAAATAAATACAAAATTTGCGAAACTTCACAGGGCTATATTTTCCTCATTTTACAACATTGCGCAACCAAACTTTGCAATTTTACTCATTTTAAGATGCTCTTTCCAGCTATGGTAATGGTTTTCGTTCTTCTTGCCCAGATCAAAATTTCGTGCATAGCTGGAATCACCCATTCTATATTTCTGCCTCAAAATTAAATACAAGACTATGCTATTGCACGTAATGATTGAAAATAATTGTCAATATTTTTTGTTGACTCAAATATACATGGTCTTTCCACAATCCAAACCAAACCAGAACAATCGTTTTCGTTCCAGAGCGGACCAGATAGTGTTACTTCGACTGAGTGTCGCCCAGAGCGATTCCGACCACAAGTTGGCTGGAAGACGAAGCTTCTTTAGACGCAGTAAAAAAGGAAGCCATAGTTACAGTGTCAGTCACTCACGGGAGAGCAGTGATACCAGCGTATCTACCTTCACAGGTAAGATTAAACCTCAAACTCGTTAACAATTCATGATAAATTAGCCAACCATATCGCTTTACTTTGGTCACAGGATGTTACTGGATACGTGGTGAAGTATATTGATTCAGTCCTAGGACTGATATGAAAATGGATAAGAGTTGACTTAAATTTAATGAAAATTTGAACCAACTCAAATGGACCATTTGCATTATAGACTAAATTTTGATGTACTGTAGTCAAGAACAAGTCTAGATAAAAATTTCATCACAGCTTGAAAGAGCATCACAAAATTAGTAATATTCCAAAGTTTCGTTGCGAAATATTGTAAAAGGCGGATAATATAGCCTTGCGAAGTTTTCCGTTTTTCACTCATTTTGTATTACAAACGGGAAATTGACAGCCCCAAAGGGAATAGGGCTGTCAATTTTTCCCGCGTAATGCAAAATAACTGAAAAACGGCTATATTGTCTGCATTTTACAACATTTCGCAACGAAACATTGGAATATTACTAATTTTGTGATGCTCTTTCAAGCTGTGATGAAATTTTTGTCTAGACTTGTCATAGGACTTGTCTAGATCAAAATTTAGTCTATAATGCAAATGGTCCATTTGATGAGAGTGCATGAGAGTCGATGAGAGTTACCGGTCATGCAAACGTTGTAATATTTAACTTTTATAACTGAGGCTTACGTTTGTTTATCTTTTTTAGATATGGGTGTTGCCTCTTACCAGAGTGTCGAAAGACTGGACAGTAAGTTAGATTTTAAAACGACGAACGGCGCTCAGGATAGATTACGAGAAGTTGGAATACTCAAGTAGTTGGTCAGTTGGTGAATCTGCCATGTTTGATCACAAAATTTATTTTTCTATAGCTCATCATCCTCGTCCTGTGATAAATCTTGGGTCCCCTGGCTGAAGTCGTCAGCAGGAAGTTAGCCACAGGAGCACCGTACAAGTTTACACTTTGTCATAACCGTAAGCACTCTCTATGTTGTTACTTGAAAGTCCTGTCCTAAACTAACTTTATTTATACTGGATAGTTTTATCAGTTCTAAATTGTTCTTCCAAGAGGTCCAGTAAGGATCATCTCTTATTGGTCCAGTGTTACTTCTGGAGGAAACCTAAACTAAACTAACTTTATTTATACTGGATAACTCTATCAGTTCTAAACTGTTCTCCCTAGAGGTTCGGCAAGGATCATCTCTTATTGATCCAGTGTTGCTACAGGAGGAAACCTAAACTAAACTAACTTTATTTATACTGGATAGATCTGTCAGTTCTAAACTGCATGTTCAATCTAGAGGTCCAGTAAGTGTAATCCCTTATTGGTTCATTGTCACTAGAAGAACTGCGATCTAGTGTAAATGGATATTTCACCCTTGATTAGATAAAAGAAAAACTTTGTCAATTTATTTGGTGATGCATTCCCTTCTAGAACTTGTTTCAGCTTCAGAGATGGAAATTAAAAAAGCGGTCTCCGAAGGCGTCTATCTCGATTATATCGTTAAAGATGGACAGTTTTATGTCACATTCATGTCAACCGTCAGAGAAGATATGGACAAGGTACTATATCGAATTCTTTCATACCAGTATATTTAGCCTTGCTTAAAGTGTAAGCATAATGCCATACCATAATATACCATATCACATCATACCATATCACATCATCATATTACACCATGACATACATTGTCATACAGTAGTACCATACCATCATAACACACGACACTACATCATCCCATACACCTACAGTATACCATACCACACCCTATCATATTATCACACAACACCATTTCACACATACAATACCATACAATACCACACCATACCATACCATACCATGCTACATCATACCACACCATACCATACCATACCATACCATACCATACCATACCATGCAACATCATACCTCACCATACCATGCCACATTTATCCAACCTATAACAAATAGTAATTTTCTGTCATGTAGGTGAAACACAGCATTCTTGAAGTCTCACCATTGGCCATCGAGAAACTTCGTTCACAACGCATTCATCCCATCGTGTTATTCTTAAAATACAAATCAGCAAAACACATCAAGTAAGTACAAAGCCAAACTAGAAACATTGCTGAGAATATCTGAAAACCTTGCACCAAGTCAAAGCGAGCCTCGAAATAAGTGCCAGTCATTGACCGGTATATTTTTCAGTTTTGACCAGCAAGCCCAGCAAAATATCGCATGTCGAAAAAAATGCGTACGTGAAAGAAATTTCCTCACATGGGTGGATTTTTGTTTCCCAACTTGCTTTCATTCTATCATTTGTCATTACTCAGTAAAATTTTGCGGCTCAGATATGTTATATGGTAAACAATTGTTTTGTTTGTCACCATCCAAATACTAAATATTCTTTTGTCAGTTGCCCGGTGACCATCTTTTGTACAAAAATTCGTACTGTAATACGCGTTTGGTCTGTGCCAGTAACAGGACAGAAAGTTAGGCCGAAGTTCTAGCTGCTTGTATTTTTCAATCCGTATAGCTAAATGTTGCATCAAATGTTTCCGTTGTGTCGCTGGGAAACAAACGAGAATGGTCTGAAAACTCTACTTGAATGGATCTTGTCGTAAACATTTTTTTCTTTTACTTTTCCCTTGGTATAGAGAGCAGAGAGACGCGAAACATTTACAGCAGAAAGTGTCAACAAAAGACGCCAGAGCAATGTATGAAAACTCTGTGAGAGTGGAGCATGAATTTAGATCTGAGTTCACTGGTAAGTTCCAGATTAACCTGAGTATCAGGCCCTCGGTATTGAATACCAAGGGCCTGATACTCAGGTTAGTTCCAGATAGATTTTAAAACATGCTTGATGCTTGTGTTTCACAAAATCAGTCTCTGCTACTGATTATATTCTTTTATTGACATTAATGTATCTTATTTAGCCGTAGTTCCTGGCTCGAGTATCAATTCACTGTTCTCACAAATTCAAGATATTGTTGATCAACAACAGAAGAAGACACTATGGATTCCAGTATCGTCAAATTAACGATCAATTTCACTGCGCGGAAACACTGTTTCCTAGCCATGTTTCCCAAAGGTTGTCAAACCTAGAAAAATTGTTTCCTAGCCATGTTTCCAAAAGGTGGCCTTAACCAGGAAACAATGTTTCCTATAGCCATCTTTCTGAAGGCGGGCAAACCTCTAAACATTGTTTCCTAGCCATGTTTCCTCAAGGTAGACAAACTAGGAAACATTGTTTCCCGGCTATCTGTCCTGGAGTTGGACGAACCTAGAAACATTGTTTCCTAGACTGGGGAAATCAGGAAACATACCGTTTTTTGGCCATGTCTCGAATCTCAAAGAAGGACAAATCTTTTAGGACAAACCCAGAATCATTGCATTCACAACAAAACAATTATTTTGGGAAAGATATTTCTGAATTGCCAGGAAACATTTTTGGCATTTTTGCACTCTGCCGAATTCTGAGAAGCAAAACCTCGTCTTCAAAAGAGTTCCCAAGTGTGGACAGGCGAAAATTAAAAGCGCAACACCAAAACTTTTTTCACTGTACCGTTGCCTATTTTGCGCAAATTTTCAAGCGTATGTGTCAAATTCGCCTGTGTTTAATTAACGAATTAATAATTTAATAAGTTGTATTTTTCAATCATAAAATGATTTGTAAAATGTAGTGTGAAATGAATTGTGTAAAATGTGTGTGCTGAATTTCAGCTTTTTGATAATTTATTATATTCCTGGATGCCAGTTCCTAAATCCAGTCTGTTTGCTTTGAATTCTAGCTTTTAATGATTACAGCAGATAAAAAGAAATACAGCATTTGAAAGAAAATGTAAATTTTTTCTATGAATTATTGCTCGTGACAAGCATGAGAGCTTCACGTGATATGACAGACAATGCATTCTTACACAGTCTGCCAACAAGCCGTCAACAATTTGCGCTGGTTGTCCCAAGTTGTACAGGTATGGAACAACTTGTTAACAGTTGTAACAAGCTTGATGGCATTATCAGACTTGTTGCAAGGTTGTTCCAACAAATGCGATACAGTCATGATATAACAATATTGTTACAACCTTGTGTCGTCGACCTTGTAACATTCTTGTTATATCATGACTGTATCAGACTTGGTTAAAACGACCTTGTAACAAGTCTGATAATGCCATCAAGCTTGTTGCAATAATGTACTCAGGTGAATAAGATGCTTGTGATGTTACTCTGAGTGTATATCCACACCGGGCAGGCTTGAAAACTATGCCTGGCCACGGTGGGAATCGAACCTACGACCTTTGGAATACTAGCCCAATGCTCTGCCATCTGAGCTACGCGGTCAGGTCGGTTCGAGTATGTGATATTTCGGAACTGAGTCTAGTTCCTTCGATATCAATGTAATTGTTAACAGCTTGTTCCAAACTTGTTACAACAACTGGGAACAAGCAGTGTGAACACACATTGTCGACAGCTTGTGAACAGATTTGTAACAACTTGTTTGCAGACCTAGAACAACTTGTGCGTTTTTACGTGTGTAGATGCCAACGACGGTAGGTACTGTTTACTGAAACAACATAAAGTATAGCCTTAGTTCACTAATGCGGGCTCGTAAACAAGCAGTGCACGCGGTCGAATTTGGAATAAAATTTTTTTGCTCAAAATATCATGTGAAAAGTTTAAATTTTTGTCATTTATCATTTTATCTACAAGACTTTATTAAAATGGGAAGGCTAAGTCGACACAGGAAAGTCAAGTCGTGTGATCCGTTTTTTAAGGGACAAAAAGACGTCGATATAAGGTATAATATAAAACGTCTTGCCGTCTTATAGGTCGTTTTGTAGTCTGTAGTTGACTGGACTGTCTGCACATGGTTCTAAATTCTAAAACGAAAGACAGTCCTCTGAGTGACTATTAAGTTGTTCACTTTATGTACTGATTTTGTGTTTTTTTCATATACATGTAATGAAAACATTTAGTCCTTGTTTATAATGTCAATTTATATCCATTTGAAGTTAATGAATAAGGACCATGTAACCACAAAACATGTCACATGCTGATGCACCTACAGGGGCGTAGGGGGGGGGGGGGGGGACAGCGAAAAAAAAACGAAAAAAAATATTTTTAAATGCCCTTTTTGTTTTTGAAAAGTGCCCCTCAAAGCCTTCCCCCCCCCCCCAACTTTTCGAAGGTTCCTACGCCCCTGTGCACCTATGATTGTTGTGTGATTGCTTGGTTTTGATGGTGGTGATGATGATGGTGATGTCAGTGGTGGTGATGATGATAGTGATTAAAGATGGTGGTTGTGATGGTTAGCACTATTTTACATCCAGCAAACCACCCTATTGGGCTATTCCATTTAAAAGATGTAACCCCCCTATCGAGGACAAGGTTTTTACCATATCCCTGAAGAATTCCTGACGTAAAAGGCATACCTGAAGAATTCCTGTTAAATAGCATTTACCCCTGAAGAAATCAGCATTTACCCCTGAAGAAATCAGCATTTACCCCTGAAGAATTTCAATTTTTATATCTGACCCCTGAGGAAATCTCATTCAAAATAACGAACCCTGAAGAATTCCACAAGAGAATTTGTTCACCCATGAGGAATTCCAGGGTTAAAAATTACCTTACCCAGAAGAATTCCAAGGTCCTCGATAGGGGGGTAACAAATATTAAATGGATTAGCCCATTGATTTTCTAGTTGTTTCTTTTTGGGGGTTTTTTATCAATTGCGTTATTGTTAAGGTTGTGGTTAGAGTAGGGATAGTGTTTGGGTTAGTTATGTAGCCATTTAACATTTCTTACATCTTCCGAAAATGACGTCAGGTCAGTTTGCTGGATGAATAGCTCTTGTGGAAGAAAGTAAAACCATAATATATGCGATGTTTTGTCATATATATATGTTTTTAAGATTACCACAACTGACACAAATGCAATTTTTTACTCCTTGAGTGCCAATGCTTACAGTCTGATGAGTAAATTGGCATTACACCTGTAAAGTGAAATAACAAAATGCCATGCAATGCAACTTTATGAGTTAATCCAGTGAGTCTGCCCTTAGCAATTTGACATCCATGATGACAAAAATGTCTCTCTAATAAGCCTGCTATTGTCAATTTTTGACAGCAGATTGAGATGGCAAATCTGTGGCATCTTTATTTCCATCTGAATAGAAACTCAGACAATTCCTCTCATTCAGTTCCAATGCTCCAGTTCAAGCATCTCAACTGGACAGCCAGCCAGTTCCAAGGAAAGCAAATGACTTATTTAAGGATGGTCAAAAAATAAAGCTTAAAGGTTTGTGTGCAGAAATGATATTGAAAGTGAGACGTGTTTTTTAACCCATTGAGTGACATCATTTTCCCCTTGACAAGTCAAATTGTCATTAGAGTAAAATAATAAAGTAGGGTACATTTCTCAGTTAGTCTCAACAATAACAAAGCATTCATTCACCCATGACTATGTGATAAAAACAATTTTTTATATAATATTTTTGCTGCATTTCTTTACCCTAGAACATTAATAAAATATGTAGTGCAGGTTGATTTTTGGGTCGGCACGAAGCTCTAGGAAGATGTTCTGTGATTGGTTGATTATGACAATGACAAAAGAATAAGCTATAAAACATTTGGATTTTCTAAAGAACGAAGCAAGAACAATGTTCCTTTTGTTTATGTAAGCCAATTACGTCTTTTGTCATTGTCATAGACAACCAGTCACAGAAAATCTTCCTAGAGCTTCGTGTTTACCATGATTTTTGAGAACAAATTTGCCTCAATTGGCAAAACATTGCCAAACAGAACTTCAGCTAATTTTAAGATCTAAACTTACAGTATATACCAGTATGCCAAATAAATCAAGTGACAACTCCCTGGCAACAGAAACAAGCCTAAGATATTATTTACATTACTTTTAAAGGGAAAAAAGGAAAGCGTGGTAAAGAAAAAAAGAATCGTGGAAAGTTGGACGTTCAGAGAAGACCGGGGGAAACTCGACGGGAATTTTATCAGAGATTGGATAAACAGGCAGCAGAGGAAGTCAATAAAATTCTTGTGAAAGAAAAACGTGTCAGTCAGAAACGAAAAGAGTATGAGCGCAAATTTTTATTCCTTACTTTGCAGAGCATGGGTGTCAAATGTAATATTATAATGTATACTAAAGTATGACAGTCGGCTGGCTTCATCGTTCTGGAATGGATTTTCGCTCTTGTGTTTTTCAACCTAGCTGTTGTGTTGTGAATCTTCATTAAAAATCTTTCATGTAATATTCAGCCTTCATACTCTTGTAAAGTTTGATACTTACTGTAAGACAAGAGTTCACATATTAAGCAACATATTTTTTAGGTTTTTGAAAACACGAAAAGCAAGTAAAAAGCGACAGAATGCGATGCAAGAAGATGAGCATAAAGAATTCATTACTGGTAAGACATGAGTTTTGTATGTACAAAACAGTAAAACACAGGCATAGTGAACTCAGAGTTCATACAAAATTTAAAAGTCCTTGAATGTCCTTGAATTTGAATACAAAAATTCAAGGCCTTGAATGTCCTAGAATTTGTAAAGTACTTGAAAGTCCTTAAATTTTTCTTGCTTTAGTTTTTGGATATTTTCTGAAATTGTTTGACATTCAAAACAGACATTTTGTTGAATTGATTTTGCATGTTCATATCTGACAAAGCTGTTTAAAACTCATTAAAGTTGCATTTTAAACAATTCAACATCAGATTTTACTAATTTCTAACCCCTTTTCTTCAGTATTTAATCCTTGAATCTGCTGATACATGGCCTTGAATGTCCTTGAAAAGTCCTTGAATTTCACTCTTCCTCACATGTACGAACCCTGTGAACTAAGCACTATTGTACATGCACTGCAGTGCGGACCAGCCAAAATACATGGTGCTCATTTTTTTAAAAAATGAAAAACTTTAATTTTTGTCTTTGCAAAACAAACTAATTATGCGCAAGCCTGTTGTAATAAAAGTGTTCACTAAATGCACCAGACTGGATATTATAAAGACGTCAATGGCGATAGGGAAACAACTTTTATCGCGGTGAGGGGTGGCTTGCGATCAGGATTCAGACCCTCTAAACTTCTGATCGCAGGTTAGGCGTGGGGTAACGCTTAATCGCAAATGGTAAATATTTGCAAGCTTGTTGTAATAGTAGCGTTATCAAGCATTATCAAGCATTATTTTATTATCCATGCTGAAACCCACCAGTATTAGCCATATGAAGCTTAATATAAAGTATTATTTTCATTTCAACTAGACAAAGTTAAATTTGGTGAAGTTGTAAACGAACCCCCAAGCTTTACAGCCAGGCCAAAACACGCGGGAGACGAGGCAAGTAGAAAAACTAAAATGGATTCTCTTCTCTTGCAAAATAAACTAAAGGACCAAGGCCATCAAGACGAGCATAACAAACCACAAACTTTACCAAAATCTAAAAAGCGAAAACATATGAATGCATTTGAAAAACAAATCAACGATAAAAGACGACTAGATGCAATTGCTGCATATAGAAAAATAAAAAAGAAACATATGCAGGAAAATGCATCGTAAAATGACATAATTTATATATTTCTTTGAATATAAATTTTGTACCGCTGCGCTGGTACCAATTTTATCTGGGCTGTGTCAAAAATTGAGAGTTCATTGTAGGTAGTATTCTACAATAAGCTGTCGTGGTTTGTGTCTGAACTACCTGAAAAAGAAATCTCAAACGCGGTGAGTGTAGGTAGTATTCTACAATAAGCTATCATGGTTAGTGTCTGAACTACATGAAAAAGATATCTCAAAGGTAGTATTCTATAATATATTGCCATGGCTTGTGTTTGAAAATTTGAAATATCTATAGCAAAAATTAAAACCATTTCAAGGATAGCAAGTGAAGAATTTGCAGTACATTCGCGCGAAATTCCGCATTCGCCATTTCAGCATGGCAATATTCGCAACCCGCATATATTAATCTCCTATTGCAATTTTAAAAAATATATATAGGCTTCATCAACCTCGTTCCCAGGGCTTCAGTGTGAGGACGAGGCGAGACACGAGGAAGCCCTGGTCCGGGCCGGTCAATTTTGCATTCTGATTGGCTAACACCATGTTGTCTAAAAATAGCTGAACTTGACAGTTGACAATAACAATTCAACATTTGTATTTTTATGATTCTTATGTGTACGAGTATGTTTAGCAAAATAATCTTTCAAAATAAGACGTTTTCCCGACTGCATGATTTCGCCTCGGCCGGTTACAAAACTCAAAAGCCGTGTCGACGTGCCGAGACGCGAGCCTGACAAAACAAGAAACGTCTACTATTATTTGAGCCGTATAGTTTTCCCTGTACAGTATTTATATTTAAATGTAGTGCAGATGTCTGATGAAATACTACGCGTATTGCATTGTAGTATTAATATTTTAATTTACAATATTCTGTACTGACAAATAAAAGCAAGACAAACAATTAAATGAAACTACTAAATTAATTTAGGCCCTGTTTACTTAATAGCTCTACGCCTTGGCCGATGTAGTCCCTACAAGATTCGTCACGCCACCGAGTTTCACAGTTCCAGAATACCCCGAATACTTGAAAATTGCGGCTATACGATAAAATAAAACAAAGATTGTGAAGGGGATAAAATTTGTAGGCAAGCATTGCTCCTGAACGGCAAGTGTTGGTGTCCGGCGAAACCATATATTCCTGTACAGCATAAACAGGTTACGCGAGGTTTTATATTTGTGTTTATTTATATTGAACTAAGTCAGATCTATAAGAGCATATTTAAACTAAATATTAATTATAGCAATAGCCATATTGTTGAAATTTCGTGTGAATCGCCACTTGCATGGAGACGCCTAGATGCAGTTGGATGCAGCTTTGCCTGTAGTTGAAAATCTCCAGAAATATCGGTATATCTTCGAAAACATAGACGGGATCTTCATAGATTTTAGCTGATTCGTGCCAAACTTCGCTCTACACATAAATAATATCGATTGAAAAGTCTTTTGGCTATTTTAATATTTGTTTCGAAGACTTGTATATTTCATTAAAGAATATCTCGCCACTCCTTGACGAGTAGCTGTCAAATACTGCCATTTTTTGACATCACGTGACCGGCCCGGACCAGGGCTTCCTCGTGTCTCGCCTCGTCCTCACACTGAAGCCCTGGGAACGAGGTTGAGGCTTCATATTACGCTCGCGCCTAACCTGAAGTTCAGGCCCTAATTTGAAATAGGGCCTGACACAAAACCTGTCTAGACCGTGGGACGCCCACATATTATTTTTAGACACAACATGCAATATGATTGACCATAGTGGATTGACAAGTGTTGTAGATTTCGTCACAAAAAAATTATATTCTCATGAACATGTCCGCAGAGTGTGCATTTTGCTTCTTAATTAAACTTAAAAATTCAAGGTACTTTTATATAATTAAGAGTCAGTTTCTCTATTTAACCGAACAGCAAACAAATATATTTAATTAGTCGGTTCTGTGCACGGCTTGACTGCCAAGCTTTCTCAAGGTCTCAACTTGCTGGACGGCCTTTCAAAATACTGTTTATTTGATTTATTTTCTGCCATAAAAGAAAAGAAATTCGAAGAAATCGATAATGAATTTGTTACGTGCGTTTGACCTTTATATTAATTATCGCCCTTGACCGAGCTATTTTTAAAACTGTTGTTTATCTGAACTTGCAACCAATCAAAATCCTTCATGATGCTGATCAACCAATCAGATTTCCCGTCCACCAGATGGACGTGAATCCCACAGTTTAGGTTTTGTGTCAGGCCCTATTCTGTGATTAGGACCTGAACTTCAGGTTAGGGCTCGTGCCGAAGGCACGGAAAATTTTTTAATTTGAATCCCGGAAATGGCATTTGCATCATTCTGAGACACGAATAATCAGAAAACCCAAAATTCCGGGCGCCAGAGTATACCTGTTTGCAGGTAATGCTGTGAAATATATAGTTAACAACAAAAATCATGACTAAAGACACCAAAAACGGATCAAAATTGGGAATCGACTCACATTACTTCAATCCCATTCCCATTTTTGAGGACTTCATTTCCCATTCCCAGTGGCCAAATCCCAGTCGCAGCAACCCAAATCCCATTTTTCTAGTGTAAAAATAGATCAATCCCGATTCCCATTTTACCCCTTCAGGGCCATCTATAGTAAATGTGCATGTTTAAATGCGCTTTATTACCTTCTATTAAGTCAGTTTTCCACTAGCGAATTTTTCTGGGAGAAGCGACCTTTTTCCTTTGTCGGCATCCATTTTGCAGCCCTCGAAAAGTCAAAACCGTCAAAATTGAGGTCGGCACAATCTGACCTAGGTCGGCACATCTAGGCATTTCTTAAAATCTGTTTCACGTCTTGGAGCACTATTAATCACGCATTTACGAATCATTGAAATCGGAATATAACTGGAACGTTACCTCCAGCCGGAAAATTCGAAAGTTGGAGCCAAATTTTAACTCCAGACGCGCTAAATTTGATCTTCAAACATCTAACGTATATACATAATACCCGTCAGTTCTTAAACCTTACACCGTAGTGTGTTCAGTTAATCGAATTCGCTGACATTTTAAAAGCCATCAGCATAAAAAATTCTTACTTTGGTTGAATTAAGGTGGGCAAAAATTTGCATTTAGCCCGGCAGTGCCGAATGCCGACCTCGTTTTCGAGGACTGATTTTGCCACGTCTTGCTGACGTAATAAGTGATACCGACAAAAGAAAAAGGTCGCTTCGTGCGAGAAAATTCGCTAGTGGAAAATCGACTTTATTGCCTCTTTTATAGAACGGTATAATAAGCAACAACAACAACAACAACAACAACAACAACAACAACAACAACAACAACAACAACAACAACAACAACAACAACAACAACAACAACAACAACAACAACAACAACAACAACAACAACAACAACAACAACCAAACAAGTTTAATTACCTAATTACGATTTCAATAATATTATGTTTTTGAACTTTATAATATTGAAATCGTGTAACATCGTAATTAGAAGCACAATAATGCGGTTGGCAATCGTCCCTACAACCGGAATACAGTTCGCGTGCATGGTATTTTCTTATCATAAATGCATATAGAAAGAAATGATATACAGTTTAAATTTTACAATCATGTTTACATTTGTTTGTCGGGCACTACAGGCCAGCGATCTTAAAGGAATGCTACAGCCTATAGCTATAGTGAACAGTATACTGTACAGTATATGCTAGCATTCCTTTAAGATCGCTAGTCTTCTTTTACCTTTAATTGGAAAAACCAACATCTCCTTTCTACGAATCACAACAGGTACATGTTCTGATGTCGTAGGAGAATCAGTGGTCGAAGAAGTCGTCTGATCCGTTGAGGAGACCTTGCGCTTGGTTGATCTTTTACCCGGCAATTTCTTGAGCATAAGTCGACGAAGATCTAGATTGCGCCCGACAGCATGAAAATGAGGAGACAATAATAAAATTGTGTAACCATTTTGAGATAAATTTAACTAAAGAGTTGGTTTTCAAACGACGTTTCAGACGCACCAGTGAATTGTACTCTAAATTGTATTGTATCAGTTGCGTGAGGTTAAATACTGGCGTAATGAAATACATGTCATTAAGCAAAATTCAGTATAAATGTTATATTTTAATTAAATAATTATGTCAATTCGATATTGACAAATCGGACACTTAATGAAGACAATAAACAACTATCAAAAAATTGCTACAACTTTTAGATCTACGCGTGTAAAGCAATTTGAGATGATTGAAACACCAGCTTGTAACATGTCAACACTCATCGATCAAATATTTTGTCTCAAGTGGATTTTATTTCCTTCAGAATGTTCCGTTTTCTTCGTAGGGTATAAATACGTTTAATTTTATTAATAACAGTAATAATAGTAGATTTTATTTTCCACCTTTGGCAGAGAATTACAGTTGTATTACAGATAAAAAGTATTAAAAATTTACAACAAATTTAATTAGAGTCAATAAACTTAATTAGTTCTGCTTTAATTCTTGTTATGACTACTTAACTAACATAAGAAGAATTATCGCTTACATATTCAAATAAGACTATTTTGTTTACTATTTGCTATATAAAAGTAATTTAATAACTCTCCACTATGTTGAATAGGCAATTCTCGAGTAAGAACGTTGCTTGTTGCACACTGCCTTGCTTGCATTTAATTTGTTACAATTATTGTTCATGGTAATGTATATTTTGTTTCAAGGTTTATTATATAAATGACAAATTTACTGAAATCAGATTGTTTGAGAGGAGTGCAATTATTTCATTAATTGCACTCTCCAGGAGTCAGTTAATGATTTTCGTGATGGTGGGAGCGGGAAATCAAAACAACAAAAATCCAATATGGCGTCGAAAGTTATCTCGTATAGCCTAAATAACAAACGTGGACAACTTTAATTAACTAAGTTTTGGAAAATACCTGGAAACAGTTTTAAGAAATAATCTCGGCGGGATGCAGCGAAACGTGACTATGTGAGTCTGTAATACAATTTAAATTTTAAAATATGTTGTTTGAGTTTGAATCATGTGTT